AGCTAGTATTTGCAAGTTCAATGAATACAATTTCATATATAACAATGGAGGCTTCATTTAATTGCAGTAAAAATCAAAGTAAAGGACATTTTCTAGATACGTCTATTTTCCTATTTAGTTTAAACATGCATGTTTTCTGTAGACACAAAAATCAATACATACAGTATATTATCCATGGAAACTTCTTGTATTATCCAAGAACTGTACGTACTGAAAAGACATATTGTAAATACCCTATTCTTTTACTTTAACTAATGTATAGAAGTTTCTCTGAATAAAAAATCGATGAATACAATATCAAACATAAAATGGTGGATAATACCAATTTTGTAGTAAACATAAAAGTATCTTTCAGGCGCCTTTAATAACAAAAAAAAAAAAAAAAAAAAAAAAAAAAAAGAAAAAATCCTACGAGGCAAAGTTCGTATTTTTCTGCTAAGAATTATTCTTTTTGTATTACATTCATTTCCACGCCGAAATAGGTAAGTTGTATAATAAAAATGAGTATGGCTTTATTTATTTATTTATTTATTTTTTGTTTTTTTTTTACGTCTTCTAAATGCAAGAGTTAATATGAATAGTAAACATCTATAATATATCAATAATTATCATACGATGAATTGAATGGAGCATATTCATGTTAATGAATTTTAATTAAACTTGTAGACATATCAGAGAAACAAATAAATAGAGAAAAATAAAAAGGAACAACAAAACTTGCGCACATAGACAAAATTTATGTAACTGTTATTCAGAGTCATTACATTGTATATATATGAAATATATGGAGATTACGAACAGTATTCAAGCTCAAAAGTCCATCAAACAATACAAAATAGGAGCAGAGCAAACACGGACCTCCAAAACATCAGAGGTGTGATCGGGAAATAACGGGAAAATCCGTCGACAGTTCAGTGTGTAAATAATGGCCTAACAATTAGTATTAAAAACATCAGTCGGCATTTGACTAAATGATAAATTGTATTTGCTGACAAGGTTATTGTATCGACCATAGAACTTACGTAATGATGACATTAAACGAGATGGCTGATATTCTTGTTTCATCGACTTTTGTCAATAATTTACCTCGTTTTAGAACTTGTACATACGTAGAGCATGCTCTTGCGTATCGAATCAACTGAGAGATACAAACCCCGTATGCAGGTGATGAAGGTATATTGCTGCATAAGTAAGGGAGGTTGACGATTGAAAAGTTAGTCATCACGTTTATCATAAAGCTTGGTTGTTATAATACCATTAACGTCTTTTTCAAGTAATATATACAAATATGAAACAGATGTGTCCGACTCTCTGGTATCTTTTATCTCAAGCTCACCAGGATATATCGTATCGACATAAGAATGGAAATCTCCATTGATAATTGACAATACGTCGTCGATATATCTAAATGTCGGGTTGAAGGCCACAGCAAGTGTTTTCTTCTTTTCACGTATAAGATTTTGGACAAATTCTGTTTCATATGAATACAAAAGGTCTGCTAATAACGGGGCACAATTGGTACCCACGGGAATTGTTGGAAGACCTGGTCTCCAAAAACCACATAGATATTGTCAATCAGAAACTCAAGCATCTTTTTAATGTCATCTTCAGAGTACTTGTGTGTACAATCAGAATGTTTTTTTAACAAAATAATTTTGCAAATGACCAATGACAAGGTAAGTATATTTACGAGTTCCATTTTTATTGAAAAAGCAGCAGTCAATGATATCAAAAAACCTGGATTTTAATTTATCGTGGGGAATGGTTGTGTATAAAGTTGAAAAGTCGTAAGATTTAAAGGTGTTGATTTTGGTAAAATCTTGTGATTTCAAATTTCCCTAAAAGTTCCTTAGAATTTTTAAGTATCCGCACCTGATTTACACCACTTCTCGAATATATTGTTGCACAATACTCTTGAAGTTTCTCCTTCACTACTGTTAATATCTTAGTGAGGAGTAAAGAAAGAGGCTTGGTTGAACATTTACTGGAACCCTCTATGTATCTTTGTAAGGATTTTTATGAAGTTTCGGAATCCAATATAGATATGGTCATTCAAATTCATTTTGGTTGTTTGGAATATTAAAAATATTCAAAACTGACATATAATTTTGAAGAATTTCTTCCTTAGAAAGGGAACTATGATTTTAAGTTGGATTACCACTTGTAGAATTAAATCCAAGTTCCTCTAAAATACATTTAATATTAAGAGCCTTACATTTATGGGACAGATATTTTAATTCTATTTTAGATTTAAAATTTGACATTGCTTAAGATTAGATTAAATCTGTTTAAGATCTTTTAAATGGGATGGGAACCACTTAGTTGTAGAAAACAGGCAGCAAAATTAAAGATATCTTAAAGATGCACAATGAATAAATGCCAGATAATCTACTGGAAATACTTCCAGAAAATCGTTGTAATACATCAATCAAAAATCTGAAAATTATGATATTCCAAAATGTAAATTACAGACTAATAGATGGTCATCGCTTATTCCTACTTTAGTTAATGAATGGAACCCATAATCACTTAAAATTAAGTTCATATTATAAAATAAATAGTATGTTTACATGTAAACGACATTTTATTTGACTACTGATTAAATCCTTTACCAAACAGATTGTTTGGATTCTTTCCAGGTTTTCTTTTCTTTCATTTTGATTTGAATTGATTTTCTAAAGTTTAAATTTTGATATATTGAATTACCTAATATTATTTTGGTTTGCTATTTTTTCTGATTTGATATTCATGAAAAGTAAATATCTGTACTTTAAAAAAACAATATTTCCTAATTTGCAATACAGACTATTGTAATGCGATGGACATTTGTGATGTACAAAATGCTGAGAATGTTTTGATAATATAGAAACTGTTTAACAGAGGTTAATGTTTTTTATATCATTGAAAATAGCAGGAATATATGCACATATTGTGACTTTTTAAATTTTTTTTTTGGGGGGGGGGGACAAAGTAACTCCAGAAATGATGTAAAAATCCTGTGTATTAAGTATACGGAACTTAAAATGACGTAACAAGAACCGAACTTTCAGCGAAATAAAATTTGGAATTCAACATTTGCTCATTATTTGAGTGCATGCTAAAGGACACAAAATTGCCAGTGTGGGGAAAGTTAACATAGACTAAAGTCTGTCATATGCGGTTATTATCAGGGGCTCCTACAGTTCTTTAGGTGGTCTTAAAGTGTGTCGAACATTTTGTAAAAAGTTCATTGCAACGAGAAAGTGACAAGGTTTACAATGACATAACAGTGCAATCTTTACTAGCACTATTTCTTCAGGTGTTTTATCCTATCTGAGGAAACGATAAACGTTCAATAGAGGTTTTGCTATGGTTGTTCTATATTTTCTCATAAAAAACAAATAGCACCAGTGTACTAGTTGTAATAGCTTCACCAGAACTCAATATGTTACATGCGTAACTTTTTTTTAATTGTTTTTGAGAGGCCCTTTATAGCTCTATTCCAATTATTCGCATATTGATGGATATTCAACTTTCATGTTTACTGGATAAACTAAATTCTGACGTCATTTTCTGAGTTATTACCTCTGAAAAACTATAAAGTACCGTCTTACTATGTGCACATTTTCCTGTTTTTTTAATGATCGTTGATATGTTATTAAACAACTGTCATACCTTTTCAAATATATTTCGTAATTTTTTACAGGAAAAGAAATTACTACAATCGATAACAAAACACGTATTTGAAACCTCTAGAGATGAGTAGACATCGTTCGGGATTAGTTGATAGGGAAGAAAGTCTTCCGGAACAGCAATTGACAAAGAAATCTAAGGAGGAAGCAGGTGTGGCAGAGTATATTTATTTTCGTTAAATAGTAACGCAGTACTCAAAAGTCAAACTCAAAACAAAAGATCTTTTTTAACTTTCTTTGATTATTATTTATCATTTCATATACATGTACTTTTATATAATAATGTAATTAGGACACATCGAAAACGTAAGGCAATGATATTATGAAACCAATGTTTGATTGACTCTTTTCTAATAGTATTTTAATTCTTAGCATTCTATTCCTTATGAATTTAAATCATAATATTAACACCTTGTTGTTTGAAATGTGAAGATAACGAGCAGTAATCATGCTCAAAAGTACATTTTAACAAATTGTGAGCAGGATCAATACGGACCCCTGAAAACGAATCAGGTGCCACAGAGGAGTAAGCATCCCCTGTAGACCGATCACACCACGTGTGCCCCTTTGTCGTGATCGGATACACAAAAAAATCCGTAGGAAATTTAGAGTGAAAATAATGGTCAAACAATATGCATTGAAGTCATCAGTCAAATTTCAACCAATCGATAGATCGTATTTGCAAAGAAGGTCATTTTATCGGCCTTAAAACAAAAACTTAGAGTCAATAGCTCGTATTCCTTCGATGATTTTGGATATTCTATTATTGCCGTTTCCCATCTTCTATGGATAGGTGTTTAATATGATGAAGAAAATGTTGATGTTTAGAAATTTATAGATCTGGCAGCACAGATTCATTTGGTTAGTAAATTTTGAATGAAATTGGAAGATGTAGATATAAATTTCAAAAACAATTTTTAAGTTGTAGAAAGAAAATATAGATAGATGGAAATGTTTCGAACTATACATACACTGGTAGTTGCACTGAATGCCGTAAATAAAAAATACATACATACATACATGCTTAAGAGATAAAGGGTGCATCTGTGCGACTTGATATATTACTAAGATTTAAAAAAAAAAAAAAAACGCAATCGTCTGTTATTTACTTACGAAATAGGTAATGTCTATGTTGCCCCCTTTTTGTTGGAGCAAATTGAACGGGCTTAATGTGCCACGGAAGAAGGCACCCAAGCCACATTTCTTTAGTGATCGATCGAACCCACTGAGGAATGTGTATGAAGAGGATTTTTTTCTTCCACATTCGGCTTTGATAAGAGACCATTCATACCTTGTCGGGATATTGCACAATTACCTTAGCGATTCTACATGGAGGAAGCTGGTTCTGCCCCTAATTATTCAGGTACGTAATAAATTTAATTTAAATATTGGGCGTTTTATTGGGGGTATTAAGGAAAGTTTAACTATTGCACGTATCAATTGATTCATGTTTCTTCTCAAAGGAATAACTGTCCACATCTATTCAGTTGTTGATATCATTAATTCAATTGACGAGATCAACAATTAAATTATTGCGAACATTATTATGAGTTTACTGCGGTTATTTTGCATTAGTAGCTCTTTGAAATATGTTGTTAAAAAGTGTTTCCATATGCACTATATATGAACAAAATATCATTAATAATAACACCAAGTAAATTGACTCCTGAACACATTCTATGACATGGTGTTTACAACTAAATTCAATTTCTGACACGTTGGTAATCTTTGTACAGATCAAACAAGCATACATTAAGTTTTCGATAGATTAATTCTTTATTTATTTTGCTCAATCCAACATATAATGCGCTGTAGCTCTTCACACCTTTTTTTCTTCTAACAAATCTTTTTCTACATATCTTAAAGTGTAATCTACATTCGTATTTACGTTCGAATGCCTCATATACGAGGGGTTATCAAAAAGTTCGTGGACTAGCGTCATAAAATTAAAACCGCTTTAGGTACATCAATGAATTTTTACACATTTAGTTAGCATCATCTTTTCTATCTATAGAATAAACCATAAATCATAATTTTTATTTTTTAATAAATTGTTAGTGTTTTTGTAAGCAAAGGTATGTCCAGGCGGCGCAACCTCTAATATGACGTTTATTTCTATCTGAGTGTAACTGAGAAAAACTCTTTAGATATGAGTATTTGTCATCATAAAAATCTCGTTAATTCAGGCATGTGGTACGACACATTTGTTCAGTAAAATTTGCAATTTTTACCCCATTCTATAATTTCTATGAAATTTTATCGTAAATTTTATATGGAGTGTCCAAACAATTATGGGCTTGAAAATAACGTCAAAAAGGGTGAGGGGTTTCTTTTTCAAACACTCTATAGAGTTTCGCTCCTGGAAAAACTGGTATTGACCTAAGGAATGTTTAAACTGGCTACAGAAAAATAAAATGCATCCAGAGTACTTGTTTTTTAATGCCCAAAAAGATTCAGAGAGATGAAATATGCAGTTAGTGTCGATTTGTAGTCAGGGTGTCTAAAGTCAGTCACGTCGAAAAGTGACGTTGATCATGTGTGGTAGAAATTGAACTACAACAAGCTAAGTATTCTGGCATAATCAAGTGAGGAACTTTCCCCATATAAAGATCCATTTACAATATTATATGCATTGAAAACAGCTGCTCGTGACATTGTAAATTCATATAAATAAGACGGGTTTAAGTCCTTACTTAACTCCATGTAATCTCATCAAGATAAGTGTATGAGGTAGAGAGAGCGGACATTAAGAAACAATGACGTTAAGCGGACGTCATGACACTAAACGGCGACAGCGCCGGGTGATCACATAAAGTCTTTTTAATTTTAGAATAATTTGGCAAATTATCAACGTATCAAGCTAAAATTTTCAACATTTCTTAAACTTCTGTTGTTTTATGTTCCGCATAAATTTTGTAAGCAAAGACTACATATTATTAATTTTATCGCGTCAGTCCACGAACTTTTTGATAACCCCTCGTATATATATATATATATATATATATATATATATATATATATATATATATATATATATATATATATATATATATATATATATATATATATATATATATTAAAGCAAGATATAACTGTCTCGAAATAAAATGTTTTAATTTTTGAAAGGTAACTTCAATACAAAACACTAACTATAAGATGTAAATTTATTTTTAAAACATATACATGTACCTTCGCATATATAGAAAATAAATTTATCATATGAGAAGCTAGAACTTACTGTTATAATAGTGGTTGATTTGATTAAATGTATGTAAAATACTTATATTGCAACATTTCATAGGGCTGGCTCTTAGTATCAAAATTAATTAGAATATTTTAATAGGTTCTTTTCAAATACCTAAATCAATATAGTATGTCAAACAGTATGTCAAATTTTAGATATAACACAAAGGCGTTTTCCTTTTTTATTCACGATATTAAAATTATTTCCGCCACTGGCTCTACGTATTTGTCACTCTATATCTTCACTTTACAGTAGAAGTTCAATATTAACCACACGCTGCACATTGTACACCATACTTCAAACAACGGGACCTACATACACAACAGAAAGTATGCACATAAAGGTGCACATACATAAAGCTTCATACAAGTTATAACCCACAGAACTCACCGTACACAATACTATTGTAAATGTACATGTAGTAGTGCATATAAAAGTGTATACTTTTATAAATAACGGAAAAATTATTTCACTTGTAACTTAACTTTCGTATTGTACCTATACTTACACACTTTACTTTTAAAATCATAATGAAACTAAATACTGAAATACTAGAACCAGATACTCTGAGCTAATACATACTACTTGCCATGATATTTCTAGTAAATACAAACCCTAAACAAACGAGACGAACATTCAAACGTAACTAATTTCAATTAAAATGTATGTACGTTGGAATAACAAATTTACCCCGGGACCGTAAGGTTTAAAAAACAGAGAAGAAAATGTAAATAAAATAAGTTGCTCACCTCAGCTGTCAGTGTCTGTAATCTTATCAAGGAAATCTTTGATTTTCTTCAAACTTTATTAGAGAATCGGCTTATGAGTAAAAGCTTAAGTTTTGCTTAATTTAAGAGGGAATCCGGTTCCAAGGGCGGAAGCCTTAACTTAGGTGAATAGCGATGTACCCACTGAGGGTATTCGATTGAATGATTGATTTATTAAATGATTTTACGCTGTCCTATTTGAGAAATTTTCACTTTGGCCATTTAGCCATTAACTGCTGAATTGCCCTGAATGCCAAGTATAGGTCTAAATTTGCAGCCGTCCACCGGCAAGAGGTGGCGTCTCAATATGAGTAAAAAAATCTCGAGAGAAACAACAAATAAATAAACAAACACTTTCGGATGCCTGGAGCTGGGGAAGGAACAGTCACTTCCTATGTTAATGTCATAGGTTTGTGGTGGCGCGGCAAACGAGAATCGTATCCCGGCCTCCTGATCAGGAAGTGAGAAGGGTATTCGAATGGAATGAACAAACTATTGAAAAAGGTTAGCAAAGGGTAAATGTTTAAAATATTATAATAGACAAAAAATACAGCGGAGTGTGACAGTTGTCTGAATATTAGCCTGCAAAAAAATAAACAAATAAAAAGCACATTTAACAACTTTAGTAGGTATGTATTGCTGCTGTCAACGACTGTATGTAAATAAATAAATGTTTGGGTAGGCAAAAAAGAAAGCAAATCTGAAAAAGTGTCTACGTGTGTATTTTTTTTTTTTGGAAGTTCGTGACATGTACATGCTTTGCAGACAGTTTAAACATATACATTGCAGCTATCAATCTGATTTTATAAATGAAATTTTTTTTTTGTTAAATGAATGACATGGTTAAAAATAGAGATAAGTTTATTAATATAAAAAAATCACTTATAAATTGCAAAAAAGATAAAGGAAAACAGTTCATATTAATCTGAACATATGATCATTATAATAATGACAAGGTTTACAAATTGCAACTTCCATCAAATGAGTACACTAAAATGACGTAATCACGATTTAAAAAAAACAAACAGATTCTATTATATAGATAGCAAATTGGATTTTCTATATAATAACATAATATAACATAATTGTATAGGAAATCTAATTTGCTCTTCATACTATAGAACCTTAATCTAAATTAATTTTATAAAACACTAGGTATAATTGGTCTACATGAATCTGAAGGTCTATCCGCGAAAAACCGTTGACGTTAAAAAATTTTTTTTATAAGTACGCCATTTATTTTGCATTTTGCACGCTTCATACTGAGATCTCTTCTTAATATACTGAATTAGAAACATCGAAGATAGGGCCCCGAACTCCAATAGATATATGCAAGGAACGTTCAAAAAATGTATATATGAACTTAGTGCGCAGAAAAAGATTTGACGACAAAAACGCACAAAAAGTCACACATATTATAAAAGAATCCTTAGTGATCAATAATATTTCATTTCAAAATATTGCAAATAAATGGCAATTTTGAATTATTCGACGTCAACAAAATCATTAAATATGAACACTCATATTTTCGGAAAGTCCCCCCTCCCCCCTTGTTTGATACACAGTTTGTGTTACCTTATCATTTCAAGTAGATATCTATATATCATTTCTAGTCCAGCAGGGGTCTAAAAACTAGTATAGTATTTTAATCTGTTTTGTTTTCAAACCCCAAAAACTGCAGATATTTTTAAAATACTGTGTGACGTCTGTCGCTACCAATCACCTCCTTAACCGTCTAGATCAAGTTTTTGTCAATGATATTCTTCCGTCCTCTCCCGGAGGTTCTGGAATTTTTTTGTGCTATTTGTGGACGGATGTAGGCATACTACTGATTCATTACATGTTTCATCAAGGATATTTCGGGTACATGTTGGCGTTTTCCCGAGGACATCGCATTTGCAGTTCTTTTCATAAGGAACATATCGGAGAATAATTACAATATTACTATAAGAACTTCGAATATTACCTCATAAATCTTAATTCGTAACAATGTAACAATAAAAAGAATCTTCAGAGAAAAAGGTCGCAAATTTTTAGAAAATAAATGATTAAAAGTATGGATTCTGGAAGTTTGTTTTTCAATATTTTGTCGTGCTCCGTACATCACCATCAACACTATCCAAACAGCAATATTTTGAGGAAAAATTTATTTCAAAACATTTTACCAAAATCTTAAAGAAATACGTTTCTGTAAAACTTCTTTGCTTTTTAACATCTTTAAGAGTAAACAATAGCATAGTTTGCTTAATTTTCGAACGTTACATGTTCTTTCAATTTAATTGACGACCTTTCCAATGTACTATATTTTTTTACAATTAGCTAAATATGAATAAATCGAATCAAAAGTATCAT